TAGGAAAGTCACCCCAAGCCTGGCTTGCTACTTGACAGCTCCCCACCTGGCCCCCCCAAGAGCACCTTCCTTTCACCTCACTTTAATGCACAGCGAGTAATTGCACTAAATCGCTCTTCGTGGCAGTTTTTTTAAAAATGGAAATCTCTTGGCCACATGCCCTTGAACAGCCAGCTGTGCCCGGAGGCCCTGGAGGTACGGCGGTTTTGACAGGCAGCAGGCCCACGGGTGCCTGGGAAGCAGAGGTCACTTCTGGGATGGAGCCGGCCAGAGACATGGTATCACGGGAGATTGATTATGGCACTGTCCAGTCTCGGAGTCCACAGGGCCCGGGGAGGGCGGCCACTAGGAAATAGGAAAGGATGCGACAGTCAGAGGAGGAAGACATGGGAGGAAAAGTCCCACCCGTTCTCAGGTGGAACTGGAAGTTGGCGCACTGTCCCAAGGCAGAGGAAGAAGCTATCTTCCTCCTCCTCACTCCCGGAGCCTCACTCCATAGATAGTCGCCGGGTGTCTGCCGTCCCAGCTGCCACCACTCACTGAACGCTTCCTTTGTTCCCGTGCTCTGGGTAGCCTGGCGTGAGCAGGTCAGCGGGGACACCGTCCCTGCCCCCAGAGAGCTTCCAGTCCGGTGGGGAAGAGAGCGCGGCCCACACCTGTGCAGTCCGGGCCTGCGATCACAGAGCGCTACCCAAGTCAGACGGGGCGGGCTGCGCGGGAGGACCCACACTTCAGGCCTGGGGGGCCAGTTCCACCGTCACAACCGGGAACTAGCAGTGGCTAGTTCTCACCCGGCACAGTGGCCCCCCGCTGACCCGGAGAGGACGCCCGAGACCGTGGACAGTACCAAACCTGCCACATACCACGCTTTCTCCTACACGCACTCGCCTAGGACCAAGTGCGACTTGCCGGCCACTCCCAGCGAGAGGCTCACAGCCACAACTAACAATGAAGCAGGGCCATGCTAACAACGCACTCTAAAAGAACACTTATGTCAGTGTGGTCCCTCTTTCCCTCCCCGAATATCTTACTTCGCTGCACTCGCCTTTCCCTTGAAGGAAGCTCTTTACCGCTTGGCGCCCCTGAATCCCCAGCAGCGCTAAAATTGGGGTGACCCCAACACAAGCTCTGCAAAACCCGACACCCGCCTGGGAATCGATATGGCTGCTGTGTGACCCCGGGCGGGGCGGCTGCAGGTGCAGATGAGGGAGCAACAGGCGATCCCGTCCCACCCCGGTGACCCGGGCAGGACTCTCAAGATTTCACCCCGCTGCTCAGAAGGGCCCCAGTTTAAAACTGGCCCAGGGCCTCTGTCCTCAGATAGCACCCCACACTGCCGCTAAGCAAATCTAAGCCACTGAGGCTCGAGGGAGCCATCCCGGAAACAGAAGCGTCGCCTACGACGTATTTCTGCAATGAAGTACATTTCCAGTCCCAAACTTCTAACGGATGAAGCAGTTTTCAAAATACTTGTTTGAAGCAAGGAAACTGCCTGGACTGCCTTGGCCTGTAAAAGAGCTGCAAGCATTTCGGATGTGCCGTTTACAGGATATGCAAATTCTGTGTAAAAGGCACGGGAAGATTAATTAGCCCGGGACATTCGGGGATCCTCCGTTTCCGGGTTTCATTGTCCTGACATGCAGCACTCCCCATCTTACTAGTTTATGTTGCTTAGAAGATCAACGACCTGCCTACTTTAACACGCAAAGTCAGGAGGACGAGAAGACAAGCCACAGACTGGGGGAGAAAATATTTGTGGGGGGAAAATATATATATATATATATATGTGATACAACACTGTTATCCAAAACACACAAGGAACTCTTAAAACTCAGTGAGAAAACAACCACATTTTAAAAAACTGGGCCAAAGGCCTTGACAAACACCTCACTGAGGTTCAACAGGCAGCAAATCCGCGTGTCATCGGGGAAATGCAAACTGAAACAATGAGCTACCACTGTGCACCTGTTAGAACAGACAAGCTCCAGAACCCGGACAACGCGCAATGCCGGTGAGGATGGGGACCACAGCTGTGCTCCTTCCTCGATGCTTACTCCAAGAATCCGAAAGCTCGTGGCCGCACAGAAACCTGCACGTGGACGTCGGCAGCAGCCTTCTCCATAATTGCCCGGACTCGCAAGCACACCAGCTCGGTTCAGTAGGTGATGGACGAAGAAACGGCAGATGTCCAAACAAACAGTGGGATGTTACTCAGCACCAAACAGAGATGAGCCACATCCGTCCCCGCAAGCATTTGAGCAGGAGACTCAAATGCTTATTGCTAAGTGAGAGAACCCGCACTGACACTATGGAAGAAGCCCCTATGACATTATGGGAAAAGCAAAAGTATGGAAAGGATTAAAAAAACCCTCAGTGTTTGAGAGGGGTCCGGAGGCAGGGAGGGGTGAGTAAGTAGAGCACAGAGGATGTTTAGGGCCGTGACATTACTCTGCGTCTGGAGGATACATGTTAGTACAAATCTGTGGAAACCCACAGAACGGACAACAGCAGAAGTGAACTTCAGTGTCAACAATGGACCCTGGACCACAATGCTGTGTCGACGCAGGTCCGTCGGCTTATCGAAGACCCCGGTCTGGTGGGGGATGTTGATAAGGGCGGGAGGCTGTGCATACGTGCGACAGAGGGTGTTCGGGAATCCCCTGGGAAATACCTTCCACTCCATATTGCTGCGGACCTACCACCTCTCTAAAAGATAAACTCTTTATTTTATTTTTCATTACCACTCATCCCCCTGACCCACCCCCCCCACAGTCACCACACACACTGCTATCCGTGTCCATGAGTCCTTTCACCCCGACCCCTCCACCCCCCGACCCCACCCCGCAGCTGTCATCCTGGAGACTCCCTGAATTCACTCAACAGACGTGTCTTGTCCCGCACATCAGACACAGATCTACATGTCAAAGACAAAGAGATGAGCCCCCAAAGGAAATAACCATCGAAACCAGGGAATCCACAGTCGAAAGAAGGGACAGGCACAGAAAGAGCTAATTTCAATACAATGCGACCAGCAGTAAGATTGTGGCACCAACAGAGACACTGGAGAGGACCAGGGGCCATGTGAGCTGCACTGGGCTGGGGGGGGGCAGTGGCGTGTCGGATGAGAGTCACCTCGAACCCAGGATTTTAGGGCAAAGCAGAAGTGCGCCAGGGAAGGCGGGAAGAGAGAGACGGTGCAGACACAGGAAAGGCCCCAGGCAAACGCTGGGAGGTGGGGAGGTGTCCAGAGTGTCAGGCAATGAGAGAAAAGTTCAGGGCGACCAAAGGGAGGCTGTGCACTGGGGGAGGGTGGGCGGACGAATGAGTTCAGACCAGGCAGGGCTGAGCAGGTCAAGTTCGGAGTTGAACCTGAGAGCCCCGGGAAGCTTCAGAGGCTTTCACAGACCTGCTGCAGCGAGGTCTCCAGAGCAGCCTGGAGGATGAAAGGGCCTGGGAGAGGCGGGCTGGGGACAGCGGGGGCGGGGGCGGGGGCGGGAGTGGGGGCCCTGCACGCTGGCACAGCCCTGCTTTAGACATACTCCGGGGGGCGGGGGCGACTCCAGAGGGGGAGCTGAGGGGCCGGGCACTCCACCTCCATCCTGCCTGCGCCCGTTGAGGATCGGCACTCCCAACCGTAAGGAACTACCTAGTATTAACAGTTACTTCCTTTCTGTGTCAGGTGTACCCGTAAACAGTCCTTCCTTAAACGCACAGATTGACTATGTTCTCAGAAAAACACAATATTTTATTTAATTTTTGAGAATTAAATTCCAAATAGCTGCCTTTCCTTAGGTGTGTTTTTTTTTTGTTTGTTTCAACTTGGGAAGAATTGCTCCCCGACGAGACATGGTAAAATGGGATACGATTAAAAGTGAACAACTTATTTTATCTCATCATAGCATGTCTGGCGTTTTTGCAATTCTTCCAAGTTGGACGTGCTGGAAAGCTTCCTGTCGCAGGCAACAGGCACTTGGCGAATAGGCTGGCCTAGGATTAGTCTGAGCCTTCTTCTCCCGGGCTACCTCCCTCGGGCTGTTTTCGCGTCTCTCTAGGCCTCAGTTCTACTCTTTCCGAAACCACGGATACATTCCTGGGTCCCTAAGACTCCTCCTGACGGCAATTTCTGACTACAATTCCATGAGCCTTTTCTCCTGGAAGAAATACTGCTCCTGAATTTCACAACACTTTCTGTTTTGGTTTTAAAAAGACTTTAAATTTTGCTGGAAAATATTCCTTGGAAAGTGTATAAAGCCTGTTAGAGGTTTTTGAGATTCATTTATTTTTTTTAAATCCCAGAGCACGGTGCACACGGAAAACGTTGGCATTCCCGGGGGGCTCAGGCCTCGGGGGCCGGGGCTGGGACCTCCGCGGGTTCAGCTAAGCCTCACAGCGAGGAACAAACAGGCAGAGGACCGCGTGTCCGCCGACAGGAAAACAGGCCTGCAGGGACGTGCACTGCTAGCCAGCCGGCTTCTCTTCGCCTCCCTTAGGAAACTTGTGTCCACGGGGAAAGGGCCGTGGCGCCTCTGGGAGAGCCACGGCCCAGTGGGGAGGAGGAGGGCGTCTCCTGCCTCCCTACCTGCTGGCCCGAGTCCTCTCGCGCGGGCAGTGCCTGGGAAGCGCTCGGCGCCCCCGCCCTCCCCCTCGCGCGCCTCCTCGCCGAGTCCCGCGGCCGTCCTAGCAAGTGATGTGCTCGGAGCAGGCGCGGGCCACGGAGCAGGCAGCGCCCGCGCTCCGCTCGGCCGCGGGCCGACTCCTCGCCGCCGCAGCCGCTGTGGGCTGGAGGGTGGGCGGCGGAGCGGCGGCTTCGGCTACCGTCCCCAAGGGCCGGGTGTCCAGCGGCGCCGCGGGGTCCTTCTCGCCTCCCGCCCGGGGCTGCGCTCGGACGCCCGGGCCGCGGGGGCCTCGGGAGGCGCGCCGGGGGCGCGGCGGGGAGACCGCGCGGCGGAGGCGGAGGCGGAGGCGGAGGCCCGCGGCGGGCATCTCTGCGCCCGGGCCGTGGCCGGCGAGATGTCCACCAAGGTCAGGAAGTGCAAGGAGCAGGCGAGGGTGACCTTCCCGGCGCCCGAGGAAGAGGAGGAGGAGGAGGAGGAGGAGGGCGAGGACGTGGACGCCGAGCCGCAGCGCCGCCGGCGGGGCTGGAGGGGCGTCAACGGGGGGCTGGAGCCGCGCTCGGCGCCCTTGCCGCGGGAACCGCTCGGCCACCGCCAGCCGCCCTGGTCGCCGGGGCCCGACATGTGAGTACCGGCGGCTGCAGCCCGGAAGGGAGGCGCCCCCGCCGCCCCGCGACGTGCCCGGGACCCCAGACCCAATCCTGTCTGATCCCGGGACCGCGCCCTGGGTCTTGTGGGGCGTGGAACCGCCCCGCCAGCCGACACCGCGGACGCCGGGCGAGCTCTCCAGCCCGTGGACACTTCTCTCCCACGGCCACGGACCTCGCGCGACGGCCCGCGGGCTGGGAACCCCTGGGAGAATGGACCCCGGGTGCCCGCGCTCCCCCGGGGGGGGGGGTTCGAGGAAGGCGGCGTGCTCCCAGCCGCGGGCACGCGCGCTACCCCACTCGTGCCCGCGTCCCGGCGCGGAGCGACCCCGGGAACGTGGGTCCCCTCGGCCGCACGGGGCCGTCGGGGCGCGGGGAGGGACCGTGCGCGACACAGAGTGCGGCGGAAGGTGCGCGGGGCCGCCCGGGTTCCCGGCGGCCCACTCCCGGGGAGGTCTGGGCCCGGAGCGCCAGCGGGTCCCCCGGGAGAGCGCGGCGCAGGAACCGCTTCGCCGGCGACTCGGCTGCAGTCCCCGGGCGGCTCGGGGTCGGTAGCTGCGCGGTTTTTTAAGGGGAGGTCGAGGTCGGCGCCCCAGGCTGTCGGAGGAAGCGACTTTGCTTCATCCCCAGACGTGCGCGAGACCCGCCGAGGGTGGGAAAGAGGGGGATTCCCGTCGCAGGGCGCAGGCTCTCGGCGTCTCCGGTCGCGTACCTGGGCCGTGTCGCGGGGCTTTACTGTCTGTTTCGGGGAGAACGCGCAGGTGTAGGTAGGAAGCAGGGGTCGGTCCAGGCTGCGCCCCGGCCCGCCTGGGCCCTGCACGGCCCGCCTGGGCCCCGGGAGGTGGCTGTGCAGCGCCCCCTGCTGCCGCCCGGTCCGGACCCACGGACCCTGGGAAAGAGACCTCAGGGGCTGGGAGTGGACGGCCCGGGGGAGGGTTCCCCGTTACCATGTTCAGTTTTGGCTGAGGACCGGCCTGGAGTGGAAGTGGCCCAGGTGATGGAGGGGAAGTGAGGGGGTCCTCGGGGAATGAAGCACCACCAGCTCGCTTCCCTGCCTCCCCGGGGTTTTAAGACATGCTCCATTTTTTTTTTCTTTTGTCAATTTGGTTTTTAGAACCCTGCTCAGGTTCTTGATCCTTTAACATTTTTTTTCGTTCACCTTAAATTCACACTCAGTTGGACACCAGGGCGCTCTTAGCTGGGAAAGTAGGGCGGAGCACAGATTACTCTCACTTTGCCTTTCCAAGTTTGAGGTCAATCATATAAAGCACGAGGCAAAAGCTCTTGCGGACGGCCTGGCCAACGGCTAATGGAACGCCTTCCTGTCCGTAGGCGAGAGATGCACAATTCAGCAAGGACGCATTGCAGGGTACCAGTTTCCTAAAGTGGTTGAGAAGACCCGGTCCTCTTAGGGAGCCAGGCAGAAAGAAGCGTATCTTCTGGAGGCAGGGCAGCAAGCTCCCCGTGTTTATGTGAGGCCTGCGACTTGGGAAGGTCTGAGATGAGCTTGCTCTCCCTTGCAGAGGTTAGCTCTTTATTCCGTCTGAGCAGAACGGGCCCAGTTTCATAGCTCAGGGAGTGAAGCAGCAGCTTTGGGAGCGAGGGGAGGGAGGGGGTCGGAGAAGGATGGCCCCAGAGATTCGGAGGACGGAGCCCACTCCCACCGTGAAGATTCCTCAGGGTGATGTGACTGACGTTCATTTCGCTGCTCTGTGCTGCAGGATTGTACTTGGGAATTTTAAACAGAGGAGGCATGTCATCTGTTATAGCACTGACAGGACTTAAAAAAAAACAAACTGATAGAGCTTCCATCACTGATTTAAGAGTTCCTTTATCCTGGTTGTTTGCCTGCCTCGGACCAATCCCGGGTCGTTGGCCAGATTACCTCATTTCTGATTTCTTTTTTTTGGTTGTAATATATCTGATGACCTCCAACAAGGCACTTGAAGGGGCTCTCGTGAGTTTCAGTTCACAGGTATTTCTCACGCATTTGCATGTGCAAAGTGCAGCCCAGGCACACGGCATGCTGGGAGATGAGCATGGCGTCTGGTCTGCACTCGAGGTATTGAATGTCGCAGGAGCGAGAGGTGGAGGTAAACCTGATCACGAACATGTATGCTATCAGTTAGACTAGAATGACCACCATAAACACACACACACACACGGCGACAGAGCGACGGAGAGTCAAGTGCAAGGAGAGACTGACAATAGAAGGTGTGGGGACATCGAGGAAACCCTCGTGGGCCTTAAAAGGTGGACGGGCCACTAGACAGAGAGAGAATGTGTAGTTAACTCAGGTCCTCTCCCCTTCTCCCTCCCCGCATGCCAAGGGAATCATGTCCGGGGAACATCAGCTGAGTCTGGTTGGAACGTAGAGCATGTGCAGGAGAGCAGAGAGACGTGGCTGAATGTGTTGGTTTGGGGCATCACGGGGCAGGACCTTGTATTCCAGGAGGAGGCGCTAGGGAGTCATTGACTGTTTCACAGCAGCAGAGTGATCAAAGCCGCTCCGAGAGCTGGACGGATTGAAGTGGCCATCGGCAGAATGCTAATAAATCGATTAGGGGCCATTATAGCTATCCAGGCCGAGATTAGGACCTGTAACAGGGTTGTCGGTGGGGTGGAAAGAGGGGGGTGAGATCAGAAGAGAGAACAGACAATAGAATCTTTGGGAACTTGCCACTACCCGCCCAGGAGGCATTGGAGAGAAAGCAGGGTCTGAGATGACTTGGCGATTTCACCTTAGATGACTCAGAGATCACCAGTGTCATTGCTGGAAAGAGAAGAACGAGGAGTGTGGTCTGCTTTTTCAGATAATTCTGACAGAGATGTCAAACAGAGAGATGGAAATGCGAATTCTCGGGGAGTCTGAAAGTCCGCTATCTGATGGGAATCGTTACAGAGTCCTGTGAGCACAGGGAATGTGATGGGAAAAACGAAGGGAACCTTGGCGCCCTTATCGCAGGGAAAACATGGTGTTGGAGGGCAGAGAGACCGGGAGACCCAAAGGGCACAGAAGAGGAGGAAGGCGCAAGTAGTAGTGAGGCCAGGCTGCCCAGAGAGAAGAGTTTCAAAAAAAGGGAAGAACTGACCCATGGTTGTCAAATGCTCAGTAAATCAAGAAAGAAACTTAGGCGTCTGCTTTTAGTAGGAAGAATGGATCCTCAGAGTAATATCTGTGGGGGGAAAAAAAACCTTTAGATCTCCATGCACTGTTATCTTCCGCAGAGAAGGATTTCTAGAACAGAGGATTCTGTTTTAGTTTTTCTTCCGAGGGAGTGCTTCCATCATAAAAGCAGTAATTGGTGTTTATGTAATGCTTCATGCTGTCGTTTATACGAATTAACTTGAACCACACCTCTTTAAAGCAGGTTTTCCCATTGCCATCCCTCGGCAAAGGAGAACATTGGTACACAGAGGGGTAAAGTCATGTTCAAAGGGTTGCTTGGCGGACCGGTAACAGAGCTCCTGCATTCCATGCAGCGTTACGAACGACGGTCGCCGCGCCGTCCATCAGAGCGCCGGACTCGTCCGCCCCACAGAACTGCAGCTCGGTCTCCTCTGCCCTGCACTCCCCCTCCCCCCCATTTCCCACACCCTCGAGCCCCCGGTATTCTCTCTGCTTCCCGTGACACGGTGTTTTTAGATTCCACGTAAGTGAGGTCATGCGCTGCTTTTCCTTTTGCGTCTGGCTTATTTCACTTAGCATGCTGTCTGCCAGGTTTATCTGCGTCGTCACAAGTGGGAAGGTCTCCTCTGTTGAGCCGGACAACGTTCCATTTCGATACGTACTCGTTATCACAGTTTCTTCGGCCATGTGGCGTTTCGTGGTCACTGCTGAGTCACGTGGTGTAGTGTGATAGAATCTCCTTTTTAATCACTTGCTTTCCTTGGAGTCCACATTTGTCTCATCCGTTCTTGCCTGCTTCTGTAGCTACATCCTCAGCCTCTGTGTGTGTTTTCCTGTACACATCCCTTCTAAAGCCCTCTGACTGCTTTTGAATGTGGTTTTCGGTTATTTTTTTTTCCTTCAGGAAGCTTTTAGAAAAAAATAATTGTCTCCTTATTAGGAGTGTTATTCTGAAATTGCAAGATGACGTGCCTTGGTATCAGTCTGTTTTCAGTATGTGAGCGGGACACCTGGTGAATCTTTGTGCTATCTGGGGATCGTGCCCCGAGGTTCTGGGAGGTTTTCGTGTATTATTTCTCTTATTACTTCCTACCCACGATGTCCAGTCTTCTCTCTCCCTGGAATCCCTATTATTTGGATGCTGGGCCTCCTGGACCGACCCCTGGGTTTTCTGTCTCTTCCCCCCTCTGTTCCAGTGTCTTTTCTGTTCTTCCTGAAATGTTTCCTTGACTCCATCTCCAGATTCTTCCACTGATTTTTTTTCCACTTGAGCTATTATAGTGTTGCTCTCTAAGAGCTCTTTCTTGTCTTATGACTATTCCTTTTTATAGCATTCTTCCTGATTTCAAACATCCAGTATTTTTACAAATATGTCTCAGGGGAGGAGGGATTGGGAGCTAATAACAGCTGGAGCTCTTATTCTGGAGCTGGGCAGGGACCCCCTGGCCCTGGCTGCTGCCCCCCTGTCCCGGGCCCCGGCACTCCGGCGTCCAGAGCATCTCTCCCCATTTCTCCAGCTATTTCACAGCCCGTCTCTCTTACAGGCGCGTGAGTTATCATTTGATCATATCACGGGGGTCAGAGGTCTGGGGGAAGGGTTTCCACCTACTCCTCGTACAGATGTTGAGCCAGTTCCCCCGATTTTGGCTCCTGCCTCATCTCTACTTTCTGAAGTTTCTTTGGCCCTCAGTGCCTGGGCCGTTGCTGATACGGAGCAGGGTGGGCCAGCTTCTCATCCCAGGCCCTGGGGCTGGCCCTTCCTTCTCCCCGCTAAGTGTCAGTCACCGTCTCTGCTCACGTCCTCTTCTGCCTGTCCTCGCGGACCGTGGGCGAGGGCACAGAGGTCT